TCACATCTGGTTCTGTTGTGGTGGTAGTTACATCTGGTTCTGTTGTTGTGGTGGTAGTTACATCTGGTTCTGTTGTTGTAGTGGTCGTTGTGGTGGTTGTTGTAGTTGTGGTCGTGGTCGTTGTGGTGGTTGTTGTGGTTGTGGTTGTGGCTGTGGTTGTGGTTGTGGTTGTGGTTGTGGTGGTGGTGGTGGTTGTGGTGGTGGTTGTGGTTGTGGTGGTGGTGGTGGTGGTGGTGGTGGTGGTGGTGGTGGTGGTGGTGCCGAATGATGGATATTCACAGTGGCCCCAGTTGGTTCCCTGGCAAGCGGAATCCTTAACAAAGCACCAGGGCACCGGGTCGGGATCCCAGGTCTTTGTGGCACAGCTGTCGCTGCACTCGCAATTTTTGTTAATTGTTCTCGGCGTCACGGCCTGAATGGCTGCATCAACGCTGGGGTAGCGTGCGGCAGGGTTCAGCCCCGGAGCAGGGGTTCCTGTGCTGTCCGCTAATGGAAAGTTGTAGGCGGTGCTGCTGCCCGGGAGGCTCAGCGTGGGAATGGTGACATGGGTCAGGACGCACAGTCCAACACGGAACCTTCCACCCTCGCCCCAATAGGGGCCCCAGCTGTTCAAGCAAATCCAAGCTGATGGCTGTCACCGCGTGATTCGGGTTCATGTCGCAGGAGTGTGTGTAGACGCCGCTTCTGTATGACATGAAGGGCCCGTCTGCCATCAAGAGAGCTGGCACCGGTCCACCCGCGAGGATGGCTTCACGGACTAGCTGATATGCCATTGTGGGCAGGGGATGGTGCAGGAGCGTCAGGTCGTAGTGCGTGGAGAGGCCAAGTTTGAAGCGGTCCGTATGCAAGGTCTTGGAGAATGTCGGGTTCGAGCACTCTGTGGGGCAGGGAGGCGCTGACGAGTTCGAGGTGAAGTGGTCCGTGCCTGCACCGTGCCCAAAGTAAGGCGAGCAACCTGCATCACCGCCCGTCGGGAAACTTAGAAGCAAAAACACAAGCAAAGACAGGAGCCTAGAGAGCATATTTCAAAACAGTCATGACTTGCGCTGAGGCCCAGACTTAAAGACGTCTGACGGCCAGCCTCCCTGACAACCATCGCGGCCTCCGGTGTAGGTGCAGGATGTGATGAAGCCGCGGGAGATCTGCGCACTGGGGCCGCTGAAGAGGCCTGATGCCAAAACAGGAACTGCAAATGAGAACATCCGGCATGAAAGATGGCTTCTCATGCGAGGGGCCCCCTGGCCGTTCTTGACCTTGCAAAATTTACAAGGTTCTAGATATTCTAGCTTTCGTGCTCTCAAGTTGGTTAGCCTCCCCAAGAAGTTTCTCAACGAAGCGCGAATTCTCTATACTCAGTCTACTGAGTCCACTGCTAAGATGTAATAGCATCTAGGAGGCTAGCAAGGGGTCTGGTGCAGCTTTCCTTCTACTGCTGACCTTCAGCCTTGTTCGTGCATATTAGCGCTTAACTGGAGAAATTGAAGTGCTGTGATGCTGTAATCCAGGAATGAAAGGACCTCTCTTTCTCACGAAGAATTTGAGGTGCTGTCTGATGTTGCATCGAGAATTCTCTCGTTTCTTCCTCGGAGTGAAAACAACTCTCGTGTTCCGTTTTGAGATATGTACAGTGTACAGTCCAGGCTTGTCCGTGCGGTTGGAGCAGGTCAGGAAGCATGGAGGCTTTGACAATGACGCTTGGTCCTCATTCTAGATTCTAGAATTCCTGCCGCACGTTCGAGGGGTGCTGAACCACGAATGCTGGTTTTCGTTTCCTTGGCAGTCGTGGTCTGTGGGACTGAGAGCGCTTCGACTGGCCTGCGTCATGCGGAAGCACGGTTGAGGAGGAAGCTGTGATCCACCTAGAAGTGCCCTGAAATGGAGGCCAAGAAACGACTGGTCCCAGACCGTAGAAAACAAGCTCTTATATACATGATTTAAAAAAAACTCTAGGAAAGGAACGCAGAGATGTCCCCTTTAGCTCGTGCACTGTGGCCCACCTTGATTGTGGATCCGCCCAATTATCTCGCTGCACTGTGGCCAGTGCGTGCGCGCATCAAAGTTTGCCGGCAGGCTGCGCTTCCGCATGCGCTCCACAATGCTGTGGCTCGTCTCCAGCAGGGTGCGATTCTGGTGGGACTCTTCGATGCCGGTGCGATGTCGGAGGTCAATCTGGGAGAAGTTCATCAGCCAGTCTGCAAACTCAAAGGCCACATCATGGTAGTGCTCCTCCAGGATCTCCTCTAACCGCTCTGTCAACACGGGCCTCTCATCCTCCAGGACCTGCATGAAGTCTTGCATGTATTCAGCTGCCTGAATCCTTCCGTCAGCAATATCATCGATCTTGTCGTGCTTACACATGATCTCCATCTCTTCCAAAACACGATCACGGAAGGACTCCAGCTCGGTTGCATTTAGCTCATGGATGAGGCCTGTTCTCTCCGCAAAGTGGTCAAAGCCCTGCTCACAGTTCTCCATGCAGGTAAGGTCCTTGCTGAAGCTTTTGTAATTGGAGCTATGGAAGGACTTGAAGTTGCTCTCCACCAGCAGGCGAGTGCGGCTGCTCAGCTGCTGGGCACGTGCGAAGGAAGCCTCCACTTGTGTGTGCAGCTCCTCGTAGCTCAGCAGTCGATCTTCCGCCTGCTCTGCTTTCAGCACTTGCTTCTGAGAGCGCTGCAGCAGCTCAGAGCCACGTGCGGGTTTGGGGCAGGAGTCTCCCGAGCAGTGCTCGGACACGGTAAGAAGAGTGAAGGTGAAGGGCAGGAGCCAAGCGAGGAGCGCCATTCCAACGGCACACCAAACCCAAAAACTCCTGGGATGAGACTTTGAGCTCTATTAGACCGAGCACGGTCGCATTGACACTTTCTTGCCGCACGGACACTTGCACCAAACTGACAAATATCGTGGTGATAAGCAATGGCAGCGACCCTCAAAACTTGGGCTCAGGCATCCGCGGCAAGAACTCCCTGAGTTTTGCCTGTGGGGTTGTTTGTGTGCTCGGAAAAAGGGAGATGCCCAAATCTAAACTTCTGACTTGCGATGCGCTCCGACTCCTGGCCAAGGAAGCATTTGAACGGAATTGCAGGTTTCCAGGCAGACAAATTGCTTAAAATAACAATGTGTTCACGGCACAGGAGCCCAATGGCATTCAGCGGGCTGGATCTCCTCCACTAAGTTCATTCAGAAGAAACATGTGCCTTACGACCTTCCTGCTGCCCAACATCGACACTTGAAGGCTGTGGCTCGAATTGTGCAGGCCAAGATTTTGTGACCCATAGATTAGCAGGCCCAAAACCTCAGGAGCTCACACACTAAGCCAATGTCAGAAGGGAACACAATTGCCATGACGATGAACTGCAATGAACCAACCAGAAAACACAGGCTATAGCGTCACAATGCCACTGATCAAATGCAGCATCGTGACAATCAGAACACGCTTCGAACAACTCAAACAGTTCAGTCCTAGTACCAGGAATGGCAACTGCCATCTCTAACTCGGTCGCTCTATTTACATTTCCATCGCTAAGGTAGTCACGCTTTCAGAGGTTAGTCGCTAGCTCAAGGGCATCCAAACCTTCACGCGTCCCACATGAACTTCGAAACTTCTCGCCTCGAACCGCTCGCGTGCTGGCTTCATCAAGGCCGTATGAACAGCGCAGTGGCCCTGGCATGGAGACAAAGCATTACAGGATGACTATGGATGAACCCCAGCTGATGTACACGGTTTTTGTTTGGGAGAGTGATCGTGGAAATTGATGAGGGCGTTCTCGTATGATGACGTTCATTTAGACTCTTGGATTCTAATGCTCGCATGTGGGTCGTCTTTGGATGCCTTGTGAGGCTTCATGTGGTATATATATATATATGTATATACTGTATATTGTATGCAGCCCCCGTCCCCTCCACAACAATAGGGCCCCCAGAAAATTGAACACGGCCGTCCTCGATTCGGCTCCCTCGGTACTAACGCCCCTGGGGATTACTTTAAAGGGCACGCTGTTGTTTCGATTAGGGCCCCGAGCCAAAACACATGCGTTGGCAGAAGCTCATTGAAGAGAGTCTGTTGGCTAGCAAAGATCAAGCTTTTTGCCGGGCATCGCATTGACCCTTAGCCCTATGTGGCTGACTGAGCCCCGAGGACATCTGGTGATTGGCAAAGGCTTAGAATTCTGTAGACTCGTTAATCACATCGTCCTACTAGCAAACAATACTTACACTGTACCCTGCCGGGATTTCGTAAAACTCAGGAATTAAGTGCGCGTGTTCAAAGGGCACAAGAGGGCTCTGAATTGACTTTTTGGAATTACGCGATGGCTCGACTTGCCGGAGAATCAAGATCCAGTTATACATGACCGGGCTTGAACCATGAACTTAATCACAAATGCCTTTGACGGTCACCGTCCTCCATCGCATCCCCAAGAAATAAGCATCCCCCTGCAGTTTGCTTCCAGTAGGAGCAATTTCCTGGTGGTGTGGAGACGTTTCGCACAAGGCATGGATGAATTGCTGCAGCATCCTACACGTGAAGCAAGGATGCTGACGCCTCACTACCCGAGGTTGGACTATTACACAGCAGGCTTGTTTTCATCCTTTGACCAGGTCCTGCTGGATCATTTAATGCAGCTCCTTGCTGCATGGGAGCACTAAAAAAGGAGTCTCCAGATTGATTTAGGACCTTCTGCCCCTAAGGCAGCGCAGCAATGCGTCGAAAAATTGGGCCAAATCTGGAGACCCACTTCGTCCGGGAAGTTGGCTCCTCATATACGTTCTGTTCCAGTTGTGGTCTCTGGAAATCGTGCACTTGCTCTGATGGCTCAGTCATATCGATCAGCACGGTGACGTGGGAATTGTTGAAGTGATGTTCTTCCAATCTTTGAGGACTTTCCTCTTGTTCGTAATCCTCCCTTCGTGTATTCAACATCTGGATGTTTAGCATTGCTAGTGCCACGGCTTCCCAGCCAAAAAACTAAAAGCATGCACGCAGCTCAGGTAGCTGCTCATCATGCCTTGGGGCAGCTTGCTGCGGCAATGTGATTGACAAAGCATGCGGTTGTAGGCTCTGCACATCAATGCGACGCCGGAGCTACCTTTACTTTGAAGGCGATGTGTCCCGTGAACCTGACGGGCGTCTGTGACTGGCAGGCAGAAGAATCGTAAGAAGAGCTTGCTGACGTGGCCTTTGTCAGGGGCAGCGTCGCAGATTTCTCGGGCTCGCCGCAGTGTTCGCAGCAAAACCTCTGAAGGATGAGGCCCGAAAATCTGGCAGCTTCTTTGAACTGTGCACAATTGAGGCCATGGCCTGGTGAGAGCGACCCCTCCTCGGGAGGCAGATGCGTGGGCTGCAGTGTTGTGCAACATCTTCATGTGGCTTTCTTTTGGGAGATGAGATGGCGAGCTCTACTCAATGCGGCCAAGGGCCAAGCAAGGACCCAAAACTGAAGAGAGCTTTTGCTGAGGCGTCGGCTGCTGTGCCACATCCACCGGCCGTCTCAGATCCGAATCCTTTGAAAGCCCCAAGTCGCAGAAAGTCCAGACAGGGTGAACGGCTATCAGCTGGCATGCTGGCAGGCCTCCTGTTCAAGCATCAGCAGCACTTTCTTGGAGTCCTGAAGAGCAAGCAATACAAAGGGTTACAGTGGGTTGATACACATGGATGCATGTTTGTCAGTCACTGCAAGAGAGGCCCATCTGTTTTAGAGCTATCTCGTAGTTCCTCAGTCTGAGCTGTGAATTGCAGGCTTGGAAGTTTAGGCGGTGTCCTCTGCAAGGATGGCTTCAAGCAGCCATTTGATGCAAGCAAAGTGCTGCTCCGTTCTGTGACCCTGGGCTGCTTTCTGCATGAGCTTCCTGCCGTTATCATGGTTTTTGGTTTTTGGTAGCACGCTATGTGCAATGGTGATATCTCTGTTATTCTCTGTTCATCAGAGGAGCTAGGGTCATTTGTGCTGTTCATGATGCCTTGTGTGAGCTGCGTCTATCTTGACTGTACCGTAATGGTCGGGGCTCCTACAGGGTCCTTTACGGACTGCAAAGCTTGAAGCACCAGTGCTACACCTCCACTAGCACTATAAAAATCCTATAAAATTGGCTTCTTGCTCTTCACTATTCTCCCGCACGGGCTCTGCAGGGATACTGCTAACGCTGCTGCTGCGGCTGCTGCTTGCCATCCTTCCTTCTAGGAAAAGAAGCACGAACCCCACCCACACACCCCACCCGGGGTTTGTAATCACCAGGAGACCTTAAAATAAGAGATCTTGGGGTTGTAAAACATTTCCTCAGATTCTTCTCTACCAAAGGACCCGAAGTGATGCCCCTAAACACCAGCAGGAGCCCGGCCGCAAGAATGTGGAAAATATTCCTTCTCGCTCTGTCTGCTTCGTGCTTGGCCTCCGTCAACACGTGGTCATCGTGGCCAAAGTTCAAAATTCCCGGCTGCATGCCGCTCTACAATCTTTCAGTGATACAATGCAGCTACGTACAAGTAGTATCAAAGCAGTACTGCATGTGGCATGCGGCAGTGCCAATCATTTCCCAACTGAAGCCGGTGCCTTCAGAGGGTTCTTTTTCCTTGCGATTCAGTAAGCCTGGACCGCTGTAATCGTGGTATCCTGTGCACTGTACCGTGGAGAAGGTCGTTGTGAGCGGGACCGAATCGCACCTTACCTCATCACTCAGGCTATGGCCTGGGGAGGGAGCCCATCCGCTTACATGGCGCTCGGCCTGGAGATCTGCCTTGAGCGCCACCAGGATCTTCAGACTGGCCAGCTGCCCGGATACGGCGGCTGATAGCAACGGCGTCAGGCCTGAACAACTACTGGACTGTAGAGGCGCAGTGAAGACTTGTTATTCGGGAATTGGAGCTCAACATAAGCCAATGCCAAGGCAGCAGCCAGCTTTGCATCGAGCCTGGCTAGGGGGTTCAGGACCATACTGTCTTCAGGAATCATTGCTCTAGAAGCATCCCGCCTCCCAGCCTAATTATGCATGTTCAACTTGCTACACCGACCAGCAAACAAGAAAATCAGAAAGCTCCCAATGCCTCGAGCTCAGCACCACCTGCGCGAACCAGCAGGCTGCAAGCGTCCGCATGGCCTGCCTGTCAGAGTTTTGAACCGAGAGCGTTACTCAAGGACATCACAAAATCCATTCCCTGTATCAGGCACCTACCTTTCTGTCTCTTTTTCCTGGAGATTCTTGCAGAGAAACCAAACATAGAGTGAAATGCAAATGCCAGGACCCATCCCGAGAAGTCGAGCAGGTTAAGGCTGGACCCACACCAAACTCCGGCCAATTTGATTCCTAAGAGCGCCAGAAACTGTAGCGTAGGCTCTCTTCGAAGTGGAAGGGTGTACTGCATTGTACTGCCAATGTCCAACCGGTTGGCTAAGCATGGGAGACAGCTCCGCAAAACAGGATGGCTCTCTCTCACTCTCTCACGCTGCAAGACCTTTCCTCTGCAGCCAAGTGGAGGGGTGTTCTGCCTCAGCAAGACGGTACTAAACTTTCCCAGCCAAAAGCTGCAAGGCAAAGCACATGTCCAATTACTTTGAAAGCTCAGGCCCTCAGCCGCACCATTTTGCATCAGGCCGCTGAGGGTTTCCTGGAAATTTGAATTTGGTTCATTGGATTCTATACCGCAGCCCAGTTTGGGCTTTGAAGGCCCCTTGATGGTGAAGTATGCTTAATTATACGGCGCGCATGCAGAAAGAGCAGATGTCTATGAGGTGGCTGCAAAGTATGATACGGCGTCATGCGCGAAGCGCTGTCCTGACTCGACCACGGCT